TTGTTACGATGAGACTAAATCAACAGAATTTTCTCATAAATTCGAAATAATATGAAAAACTTTATATATATTTTTGTCCCTCTAATTTATTAATTGAAACGACGGCTCAATTATTCATTTGTTTATTAAAAATTTCAGGCTGATATTTATTCATTCATATTACAATTCATAATTCTTTTTGTTCTTCTATTATACAATATTTTCACTTCAATCTATTTAGCAATGTCAGCACGAGTATAATTCGCATTCTTATCAATTCATCGTCACCTTCTAATTCTCGATTTATAAATATATATTGGAACATGTAAGTAGCAACTATTCGGGGAAGAGCAACCATGTTCATGTAGATTTATGATAATTCGACGGTATCGTTGATACTGATAAGGCGCATTGCCAGCTTAAAGTATATTTATATAAACAGCACTGTACGAAACAATAAAATTTATTCTAATTCCCGCATTTATAATAAATCATGTTAGTTGGACCATTGCGTTTGAAGTTATAAATAGCTGTTTACGAGCGATGTTAAATTCTTTTATCGATTCATTCGGCAAATTATTGTTGGACAATCACGATGCTCGCCTCCAATTTTATTCAATTTTATTCAATTAATCCTTGAATTTTGAACGTCATTATGAGCTGTGCAATGCGAAAGACACGAAGGCACGCTAATAGCAAATATAATTTCTAAATATTTATATTATTGTACAAATTTATTCAATACGACGTTTTGACATTATAATGATTTATTACGTTGCGAAGGGTGGTATAGCGATTCAAAGCCATTATATACACCCTTCCCCGATTATCTTATTTCCATAGACCGAATAATTTCCATAATGTCAAGACCATACTTATCTACATCACTTATGACTTCTATGAATGCAGCTACTCGAAATAAACTGCCAACATTCCCCATTACTAACTTGATATCTTTATGTTTATTTGTTGCGAGTGAGTCCTTTAGGGAGATTGGGACGAGCAACTATATTACCGTCGGGATATTTCATTCGTACTTTATATCTAGCCTACTTAACTTTACCGATTCACCCTTACCATCGCTTACTTTTCATAATTCATTTATGATTTATTATTTATACATTCGATAATATTTCCCGTGCCACGAGTTTCTGCCTTTTGTACATTAGCCGAAAGTTCCGCATTAATTATTGCAGGGGAGGGGGGGGGGAGAGTCATTAGATAAGGGGACTTGGCAACAATGACATTTTAATTTTATTTTATCGTTGTCAATAATGCAATATTATTTTGATTTTGATTACCTTACTCACTATTATCATTATATCATTTTGTTATCGTCTACGTAGAATTTATTATTATCTGTAAAAATTACGGTTGTTCAAACAAAATTTTTTATTTATATATATATGTCTATGCAGAAAATGGTCATTTTCTCATCAATCTAATAATTTCTATTATTTATATTATTCGTTGAATACAAGATAATGTCTATTCCGGAAAGGAAAGCAGAAAAGGAAGAAAGAGCGATTTTATCTATAGCACATTGTTCCGAATAATTCTCGAAAATGTACAAAAATTTGGCTAGTGTTAAAGATTAAACATAAATTAATCTTGGAACTTACATAATTTAACGATAAATATAAAGATGATTTATAAAGTGCGCAGATTTTCTCTCATAAAAGGCTCATATTTCTTATCGCTTGAGCCTGTACAGGAGAAATCACAGCCCCTACA